AGAAGAGAAAAAGTTGGCCAAGTAGGTCAAGAATTGACCAAAAGAGAAAGAGATAGGAAGCAAGGGTGTTGGGTGGTGGTCGGTGGCTGAAAAACGGCAGCAACGACTGCGTCAGTGGGGAACGATCGAGTTGTGGAGCAGCCTCGGCCGGAATCCGGAGTCCGGAGTCGACGTTGCGGCTGTGCCGAGCTGTGACGCAATCCGACGAGTATACAGTATATACTCGTCGGTGCACAATGGCCCGGATCTGGGTCGTGGTGTCAGTGCTACCACCCTTTGCTCGACCGCCAGGGGGCTGCAGCCCTAATTCCGCGCAGCCCGGCACCGCTCGAAAATCGCTGCGATATCCGCCGTGGACCGGACCACCCTCGCTGACCTATTCTTCCCCATCGGAGGATTTCTGCGTTCTTTCTCTCGTGCAGGACTGCGTACAAGTGGAGTGGATTTCCCTGCCCCCTAAAGTAAGAAAATTGAGGCTGATTTGAGGAAATTCGGTTTTCGAAGATTCGTCAAGTTGACTTGATTTCTAGCTAATTCTAGAATTAACAGGAGGTTTTTTCTTGTAAAGAGAAAAGTAAATAAACAATTTTGAAGAAATCGACTTTCCTGATTAACTGATTCTAGAATAATTGACAGGAACCTAACCTAAATCTAAACCCAGTTCAACAAAAATCAAGATGGAGGAACACTACTCAAAAGTGTTTCACGGTGTAACGCTTTTTCCTATGAAATAAATATTCTTTTATGCAAAATATATTTCCAAGGATTTTACTTGGAACAGAATTTTTTTAAACAAATCAAAAAATCTGTTAAATTCGATCCCCGAGACTTCGTACGGTTCATTACGCCTGATCGTAGGTGTAACATTTGCCAAATGCCGGTTAGTTAACGGATACATTTACAACAATTTGTGTAAAATTATCGACTATTCATTTGACGGACAATTAGTATGCGCATACGTTGATAACTAGGTGCACGTTGGTTACGTACTCTGTGACGTGGATGCCAGATAAACTAGGTTGGAGGTAAATTGGCAAGATGCGTGCCGCGAAATATCCCCATAATGCAGGATCCTGCTTATGCAATGTGAAATCGAAAGTTTGATTGACTTTTGATTAGTCTGATTCGATCTCAGTTGATCCTGGATTTTTGAAACTTGAGAAAATCTTCATAAAAATACCTCTGAGTCTCTGATCCGAAAAAATATTATACTCCAGTACAATTTTATGATATTTAGTATTTTACGAAATCTTTGCAACGCGACGAG